TGGACAGCCTGCTTGGTTTTCACCCCAAGTACAAAAGGATATTTTTTCAGGAATTGTTATGCTACAAAGGGAAACGGTATGCTAATCCTTCTCAGTGCTGCAAAAGTGCATCTGCCTCTAGCTCATCATCCAGAATGCCAGGTCCTGATCCTGTAGTGCTAATATAGCCGCACCATATAGAACACAACTGCTTCCATCTAAAGACTTACTGTACTTAGTTTAAAATACCCTTAATTGATATAGTTTTAAATTCCGATGACACTGACTAAATAATTGCCAAGGCCAAGTGAAACCTAGCACGATTTCTGCTTTTCAATATTGCATTGATTTTATTCTACATCTAATTTTAAGATTTTTTATGACTTGCTTAACTCCCTAGAGCCAGGGGTTAAGGGAAACCCAATTTCATTGAAGGCCCCATCAGGGTTGTGTTTGATCTTGGGGGGGGGGGGGGGGGGGATGGGGGGGGGGGTAATGGCCAGCTCGACATCACTTGGCCTGCCTGGACTCTGTTTTTGGCCACAGTGTCCTCCTGCACCCTCTGCCAGCAAAAATGGAGTTGGGGGGGGAGGGGGCTGTGTGAGGTCTGAAAACAGCCTCTGAGGGCCACACACAGCCCTCATAATCCTGAGTTCTGTTTTCGCTGGCAGAGGCACTGCAGGCTGGTCCTTTCACTGTTTCCAGGGCAGCCCTGCGGGCCAGATCTAAGCACCCTGCGGGCCAAATTCAGCCCACGAGCCTTGAGTTTGACACCCCTGCCCTAGAGCCTTGAGAGTAGAAAAATATATGAAGGAATGAATGAATTAATTAATTAATAAAAATATTTATGAATACATAAAAACTCTTTCTGCAACCATACATCTATTTAAACAATGGGAGAAATTGATTGCATCTCCAAAACAGGAAGGAGGACCTTAAGATGAGGATTACAAGGAAGCCTTGATGCAGGAAAGTAAGTTCCCTTCAGCAGGTCAATATACCCTTTGCTACTCCTGCTTCAGGGAGATGAAGAATATTTTTTAGCTAAAACATTCATAATCCATGAGAGGGGAAAAAACAGGATTTATTTCAGACCTCTGTCCCTTTGATTCATAGGTGACTCTTGGCCAATGCTTGGATGAGCCCATGATGTTTTCTTGACAATAATTTTGGAAGTGGTTTGCTGTTGCCTTTTTCTGAAAGTTGGGAGTGTATCAAAGTCGCTCTGTTAGCATCATATCTAAAGCAAGACTGGAACATTTCAATCTCTTTGTTTCTAGTCTGAGGCCTTTCAGTTCTACACCAAATTGGCTCTTATTCCAGTCACACATATTTGTAACTTGGGAATTATTTAAGCAGCCTATCCTTCGTAGTAACAGCAGAAATGAAACCTAGAATGCAACAAGATCGGCTTCTCAGAGAGCGTTAACACAAAACCCACACGGGTTCGAATTCATATTCCTATTTTCGCCCTTCCTCCAAATCCCACTCTTAAATCTTCAAAAGCCTTTTTGCAAGCTTGGGAGACCCATAGGATCAGGCTCTATGGCCCTGTAACTCCCATAGATCTAAAGCTCAACTGAGACAGCAACGGTTTTCTTCACTTCAGCTTCACGATTCTGTTAGATGGATCTGAACACCAAAGATATTCCCCCTTTTTGGGATGCTATCAAAAGGGCAACTGTGAAAGTCATTAATCTGCTCTTCCGCTACTTTCAGAGACAACGACTACAGAAGCAGCTCTGGCTTTTCTGCCTCCCCCGTTCAAATTCTCAGAAGCAACAGAAGCTTACAAAGAAGTGGCAAGCCACCGTGTAAGTTGCGACACAAACACAAGAAAGGAAAAATATCTCCTCCCGGAGAGATGGCACATGCTACTCATTGCTTCGTTGCCACTATCCTGCTGAGGAACGCTACTCAGCGTGCAATAAGGCAGAATTCCACCCCAACACATGGGTATGTGGCTTCGATAGCCAATAGACCATCTCAAAGCATCAAGGCTGATAACTATGGGCAAGGTTCCCAGCCAAGAGGACTCTAAGCAGCTGTCTTTTCAGAGCATATAAATCTGCAGCCAAGAGAATCAGATATTATTTTACTTTTTCAGCAGGCTAAATGCTTTCCAACACTATAAAGACTAGGTAAGGTCTGATGCCAGGCATAGAAAGACATCCTAGGCCTAAAGTGATATATGGAAACAGGACCCTTGAGCATTTTTAGGATAGGCACACAATTACAGAGCTTGTAATGACAGTCTTCATCCGGAGTACAAATGAGGAAAGCATTGAGTTGCGGATGGCAGCAAATCAGCACACTTCTTGGTGCCTAGGAGAACACAAGAATTGCATTCACATTTCTATATATCACATAAACGAGCAGGCTTTTGAAGGCTGGTAGCCACAATGGACAGGCCAGGGCCTTCTTTCATTTCAAGACTTCCAATGAGGGTTTTTGGAAGCTTAACCGCTTTTAAGGCCACACCTGGAATACTGCATCCAGTTTTGGTCACCACATTACAAAAAAAGATGTTGAGACTTTGGAAAAAGGTCAAAGAAGAGCAACTTAAGATGATTAAAGGTCTGGAGATTAAAATGTAAGAAGAACGGTTGCAGGATTTGGGTTAAGCTATTCTAGAGAAAAGGACTAGGGGTGTTCTGACCCAAACCTGATTCCAAGAAAGCAAACACAGGACAAAGGCAGCAGTATAATATGTTTAAGTTTCAGCTAAGAATCCTGTTTCTTCACAGATAAAAGGCTGCTTCCAACTAATTAGCTCTGACAAGAAAGAGCCTTGCCAGGTTTTTTCAAGTCTGACAAAAAACAACAGATAAGAAATAGTTTACAATACAAGAGTCTTCAAATACCAACTGTAATGTCCATGAGGCTGAGTTCAAAACGTCTTTGCCTTCTGCAAAGAAGGTTAATTTCACAGCTGGCTTTTATCTTCTTGAAGGAGGAGCCATTACCTTGCAGCCTTACTCCCGAGTCCCCTGTGCTGTTGTAACTGTTCTTTCCTCCGAGCAATCCTGCGCGCATGCGCATTTGCACAGGCTCCTCGGGAACCTCCTCATCACTGCTGCCAGCCCCCACAATCTCTGAAGGCAGCAGTCCACTCCCTAATGGTCTTGGCCCCTCATCTGAGTCCTCGCTCTCCTCAGCCATCTGCACCTGCTGCCAGCTAACCACAACAAGGGGGGACAGATAGCAGTATTCCAGTATTTGAGAGGTTGCCACAAAGTGGAGGGGGTCAACTTATTTTCCAAAGCACCAGAGGTCTGGTCAAGACACAATGGATGGAAACTAATCAAGGAGAGAAGCAATCTGGAATTAAGGAGAAACTTCCTAACAGTGAACGGCTTTTCGTCAGAAGTTGTGGGTGCTTCAACACTGGAGGTTTTAAAGAAGAGACTTGTCTGGAATGAGCATGGGTCTGAAATGGTATGGGGTCTCCTGCTTGAGCGGGGATTGGACTAGAAGTCCTCCAAGGAAGGGGTCGCCAACCTTTTGGACCTCAGGGACCACCAAACTCATAATTTTAGATCCCAGGGACCACTAACTGGTTCTGTGGGCGTGGCATAATTTGTGGGTGTGGCTTGGTGGTCATGTGACTGGCTGGGCATGGCTTGTATGTAAATATTATAAATATTTATAGAAATATTGAATTTTTTTATAAAAAAAGAACAACTTTTACCCAAATCAGGCAAAGTAGGCAGGCAGATTGAGTTGCTTACAGAAGCACAGGTTCACTCAGAGATCTATCTATCTGCCATCGGCTAGCTCAGTCTGTCACATAAAATTTCCTTACAAGCAAACTCATAAAATTTGCTAGCAAGCAAACTCACAAAATTAACTCACAACACACCATGTATGTAAATATTGATTTTTTTAATTAAAAAAAGCAACTTTTATCCAAAATCAGGCAAAGCAGGCAGGCAGATTGAGTTGCTCACAGAATCATTCAGTGATCTATCTATCTGCCATCAGCTAGCTCAGTCTCTCAAATTTGCTTGCCGTGAGTCTGCACTGAATGTGCTTGCAAGCAAAGCTTCAGTCCTAAGGGAGGTTTGGTTGTGCTTAGCTAGAAAGCAAGAATTCCAACCATTTCCCGCTTCCTAGCTAATCTAAATCTCCCAGCACAGCAGAACAGATGACGGTCGGAAAAAGGAAAAATAGCAACTTAGCAGACAAGTTTGTCAGGTAAGGAGTGAGTGGGCGGGGAGGGTTCCCACGGGCCATGGGGGCTGAGCAGCTTTGTGTTTTTGTGCAGCCTGGATTAATTGCTTTGGTGGGGTGCTCTGGGGGTGAGATTTCTCTGCGGCCCACCCAAATTTTCTCAGTGGGCCATGACCAGTGGGCCGTGGCCCACCGATTGGCGACCACTGCTCCAAGGTCACTTCCAGCTCTATCCTGATTAAGCTTTCTTAGGTTTTTTTTTTTTTAATTATGTTTTCATGTGATTCCTGTCTCAGAATGGTTGTGAGCAATGATAGCCAGAGGATGATCTAGAGCAGGGGTGGGGAACGGTGGCCCTTTTATGACTTGTGGACTTCAACTTCCAGAATTCCTGAGTTAGTATGGCTGGCTCAGGAATTCTGGGAGTTGAGGTCCACAAGTCATATAGGAGCTATCGTTCCCCATCTCTGATCTACAGCAGGGGTCCCCAACCTTGGCAACTTTAAGGCTTGTGGACTTCAACTCCCAGAATTCTCCAGCCAGCATCCAAATTTTGATTGCATATGATCATGGGGATATATCTGGCTGAGGAATTCTGGGAGTTGAGGTCCACAAGTCATAAAGGAGCCATCGTTCCCCATTTCTGATCTAGAGCATTAAAAAAAGAGAGCGCTATAAGCCATATGTGTATGCCATCCCTATATTATCTGGATGCTGAAAATTGGCAAGTGATCATGGATGTTGCAATTCTTGTATTCTCCCAGGCACCATGTTTTCCAGAGAGTAATGAGGAGCCACATACAGAGATCTTGGAAGGATCAGTGATACATTCTTGTAAAGTTCTTTACCTCTATGAAGGACAATATGGTCGATCATGTTCCGTTTATATTTGGTGTGGTAGAGACAGAGAGGACAACGGAGATCTTTGGGTCCTTCCTCGGGAACTGCTGAATGCCCAGCTTCCACATGCATAGTAAAAGCAGATCTACAAAATCAAAGAGTAGTACACAGGCTCAGATATAAGTGGGGAGAACCTTAACACTTTGAATAATATTTTTTGTGACAGAAGCTACAGATATCAACATTTACAGGCATGCTGCACACATTTGTCAAGACAAATTTCTTCGACTTAAGGAACAGTGGGTTTTAGTATTCCCAGGAACTGATACAAATGAAAGCTAGGTCTGACTCATATTAAACGGTAAGGGTGTTGTGTCAACCCAGACATTATGTTGTAAATCATGGCTTATGGCTTACTATAATTAGCTTTTTGTTTATTCATCAAACCACAGTGACTGCAAACCATAGCTTAGTTGATGAATGAACTCAGCCACATTTTTTACTTTATCTTTTTACAAATATCTTTGCTCGCAGTTTTTTAAAAGTAGAATTAAATATTATGTTAACCAATATCAATACAGATTAAACCTAATTAGAATTATATTAATGAATATTTGAATACAGGTAGTCCTTAATTTACAATTGAGCCCAAAATTTCTGTTGTTAAGTGAGACATTTAAGTGAGTTTTGCCTCATTTTATGACTTTTCTTGCCACAGTTGTTAAGCGAATCACTGCAGTTGGTAAGTTAGTAACCCGGATGTTCAGTGAATCTGGCTTCCCCATTGACTTTGCTTGTCAGAAGGTCGCAAAAGGTGATCACATGACCTTGGGACACAGCAACCGTCATAAATGTGAATCAGTTGCCAAACTGAATTTTGATCACATGATCATGGGAATGCTGCAAAGGTCGTAACTGTGAACAATGGTCATAAGTCACATTTTTCAGTGCTGTTGCAATATTGAACTGTCACTAAATGAACTATTGTTAAGGACTACCTATACTCAATAGATCAATGTTACATTGGCACCAATCGCAAATGTATTTAAAGCAAAAGTATAGATAACCAGCATGTATTCCAAAGGGAACAGGGTGGAACATCCTACAATATGGCCACAGAGAAGCATTTTAAGGAAATAAAGGAATTCATCTCAAAATAGAAAACTTATCCATTAATCCATAATATCTATCCATCCATCCAAATAGAATGGAAAGTCCATATTCTCCTGATTTGAGATATCTGTACGTACCTCACAGGGCTGTCAACATGTGTTTACACACAAAAAATACTGGGATGCACCAAATTTTGTTTGCAAAGTATAAGTTACCCAAATTGTATGCAGACTGTATATGAACTAGGATATATTCATGCAGGATAACTGCAGGTTCATATAATTTATATCATTTCTTCCCAAGGACATACACCTAGCCAAATGCAACTCCATTTTCACAGTTTTATCCAAAAACTCCAGGAACCATTTGTGAAGCTTCTTTTGAAAAGCATTAAAACCAACTTTAGGGAATTCAAAACTTAAGAGAAGGAAGATTTTGCTGACTGCAGAACCCTACAGAGAGTCAATAAGAACTCAGTATTATATTCCCCCAGGCAGGTTTCTAAATTCTTCTCCCTTCAGGGCAAATGTCAACTTTAACTAAAGAGATAAGGCAACGGCGCTGTTGGAAGAGCTGTGTTCGCAGAGTCCCTTCTCAGCCTCAGCACACACAACTTTACTAAAGCTGCAAATATACCACTGCAGCATAGGCAGCGCCTAGGTCGGGGTGTCAAACTGGCGGCCCAGTCTGGATGCGTCCCACGCAGGCCACGCCCACCCCAGCTCTACAAAGGGAAAAGCATCACAATATGTCATGTGATGGCCACGTGACATGGTGAGGTTGACACCCGTGGCCTAGGCTATTTCTACATGACACAACTGCAATCTTTGTGTTGCAGAGTGAAGACCATGTTAGAGCGAGGACCATAGGAGGACCAACCTATGCAGCTGTTAGCGGAAGTGTGCATGCTTCATACACCAATAGTTTACACATTCTCTGTCCTATGCACATTTCAGCTGACAGAGATTATCCGTAAGCTTGTGGATTTGCAGTTTGTGCTGCCCACTGGATTGTGTTCCTGGATTACAGACAGAACAATCCCAAGGACCCTAAATAAAAACCACATCCATTTAAAGACATTTTGTATGTTTTGGGGAGGTAAAGAGCCCTTACAGGATCAGCCTCCACCGATGACAAAGTGGATTTCAGGAGGAAGCAGCTTACTGCTTTCCACACTTCCCATGGAAAAGAGTGAAGTTATAATTCTAAGCATATGTAGTCTATTGGATTAAGTGTTCAAATTTTTGTAGGTATTTCTAGCAATGTGGATTACAATTCCCTTACTCTTTTCTACCGTCTAATCTCAGACTCTAAAACTGCAATCCCATAATCACTGATCTAGGAATGAATCCAATGTAATATCCTTCTGATCTGATATTTATCGGGTTGCACAATAAAGCAAATATTTTTGTCTACTTTTCCACAACGAGGACTAGAAGCACGTTACACCTTAGTACTGCTAATAAACAAGTGGGTGTGTTTGCAGTATTTAGTCCAAGAAGCGCCTCCCCCCCCCCCACATTTTGTAAATGGGACATAAACAACAAGATATGGAAGTTGAAGTCACAATATAAGGGAATAGAAGTTGTGTCAGCCCTTCAGGTAGTTCAGACAAGAAGCACCAACATTGAGCACTAACATTAACTTTATTTTAAGGTTAGAGTAATAGAATATTTGCAAGTCTGAAAATATCTCTCCCCTCTCTTACTTTTACTCTCCTGAAGACCAGGGAAGGTCCCTTCTGAGATGCCTTCTCCAACCTATCCCTTCTTTGGACTCACTTACCAGCCTGCTTGTCTAGATTGCAGCTCTGCGTTCTATCTCCCAAGGTCATTCCAACAGACCATTACAAATGGCCAGGTTTGAATGAATAGCTGCTTAATTGGCAACAGAACAACCCCTTAACTCTCCAGTGTAGCAACTTACTTAAAGCCTGTGTAAAATGAACAGTCTTTGCACTTGAACAACTTCTTCCCGCCGTGCTTGTCACGATAATGACGCCGAATGCTCTGTATGTAACCCGAAGTGAATTCACAAAATTCACAGTTAAGGATGGCTTCAGCTTTCTGGTCTCCTCCAGAAAGTGGGACAGGGCTAATGTTGTTATTATTCCTTGCCAAGGCTGCGGACTGATAGTGGTTCAGTTGTTGCTGGACATCTGGAGGTTCTGAATAAGAAGAATCTGAAAGGGAAAGTAAACAACTATTTAATATTAATAACAAAAAGGGGAGAGAAGGAAAGGAGGGTAAAGAAGGAACTGAGTTTGTAATTTAACTGCAACGCTAGATCAATGCTGCTCTAATTCCCCCCCAATTGGTTCTAGGAAAGTTGGTTTTTATTGGTTGAATTATTGTTTTAACATAGTTGACAATCAACATTATGGGTTTATTGTATTCATTTGCTGCTTGGGCAGACTGGGTCCCAAAAGGTGGTTAAACATACTTTTAAATGTAAACTAAGGTATGTAACATGAGGTGTAGCACACAGTGAATTTTATCGATTTCAACTCATGAGCCAGCTGTTCATATTTATTATCCACATTATAAAAATAACATAGCCTATTTCAGGGTATTAAAAATGAAAGTGTTCTTGAAGTGGATCCGGAAGCTACAATTGGGGCAAATCAAAAAGATACAGTCTCTTTCAAGTTGAGTTTGACTCATGGTTATGGCGTAGAGGGTTCTTGGCAGCAGTAGAAAAAAAAAAAGGTTTATCCTTGCCTTCTGCTGAGATGTTCTTTCAACTTTCAATCCATCTTAAAGCCCTGGGATTTTCTAAATAGTCCACATGCTAACCAAGTCCAACCTGGCTTAGCTTCAAAACATAGATAAGATCAGCCAAGTGCTGCCACCTACTGAAATACTAAAGAGTATCGCAGTCGCATTGTGAACTGTTTGGAACTACCATAGTATAAACATTATTTGTGGGTTGAAGTTACTGGTCTTACCCCTGAAAATTCTACCAGTCACAGTATAGAACCTACAGCATATAGAATACTGCCTCATAACTTAGCTTTCAGGTGGAAATTAGAATTTTCTTTGGATGCCTCTTGTTTTTTTTTTAAAGTAAATCTAATTGCCACCAAAAGGAGGATCCAAGTACACATAATATAATTCTTTTTTTTTTTTAAAGTATGCACATCTACCTTTTCCTTTAGGAATATTGGATCTGGGCTGCAAAAAATGAGAGTTAGGGAGTTTTTCCATTGTTTTCTGTATCTTTGTTGCCACTGAATTATCAGATCAATTCTGGCAGTGAAGATTTGGGAGCCCTAACTTTACAGGTAGTCCTTGACTTACAACCATTCATTAAGTGACCAACTTCTAATGGCAGTGGAAAAGTGACTTACAACCATCACTCAATAAAACCATCACAATCGTACGATCATAGTTTGAGCATTTGGCATTTCATTTATGATGGTTGCAGCATCCTGGGGTCATGTGATTTCCATTTGAATCTTCCTAGCTAACTTCTGACAAGCGAAGTCGAGGGGAGAAGCTGCATTTACTCAATAACTGCGCGATTCACTTAACAGCTGTGTCAAAAAAGGTCACAAAATTGTGCACGGCTCCCTTCACAACTGCTTTGCTTAGCAGTGGAAATTCTGGTCTAACTGTGGCTGCAAGTTGAGGATTAACTGTATGAAATAATAAACACGTCTGGAAAACACTGTACGAAGGTTGAAAATGAAGGAGCTTCTGCCTGCAACAGGGAAAACATCAGTCTTATTCCAGAGTCGGTAAAGGGAATATGAAACGTATTTTTTTGCAGATTTTAGCCCAATGAGGAAGGAAAAAGGACTATGCGGTATCAGCAGGCAAATTAATTTTATTTATAAAATTTGTGCTATTCAGGTAAGCCTTCAACTTATGACCACAATTGATCCCAGTGGTGCTATTCTAGCGTACCGGTAGCGCCAAAGATCAGTGGAGACCGAATCCGTTCTCTCTGAGGAGCTGCTGTTGGGCCCATCCGCCGGCCCGGGGGGCTTCCATACTGTCCTTTATCCCCTGCTTTTGAAGCGCAGCTACTCTGCGTGGCACAGCAGATTGCTGCACGTCAGCTGCTGAAGTGACAGGGAGAGTGCAGGATTGTAGTAGGTAAGTAGGGACGCCTCTGAGCGTGTGCAAAGTGCGCGTTTGGGGCACATGCACAAAGTATGTGCGTGCACGCACCAAATCACATCCACCGAACCGGTAGTAACCTTCTTTGAAACCCACCACTGATTGAACCCCCAAATTTATGCTAAGTGAGAAATTTGTTAAGACTTTTCTTGCCACATTTGTTAAGTGAATCACTGCCGTTGTTGGTTGTTAAGTGAATCTGGCTTCCCCACTGACTCTGCTTGTCAGAAGGTCACAAAAGGCTCCTGCACACTGCAGCTGTCATAAATATGAGTCAGTAAAGCATCTGAATGTAAATGATGCAACCATGGGGATGCTACAATAGTTGTTAAGTGTGAAAAATGGTCCCTTTTTTCAGTGATGTTGCAACTTTGAACGGTCACTAAATGAACTGTTGTAAGTCGAGGACTACCTCTATATGGGAATACAGGCATAATTAAAGTGGGAGGCTGCAAGTGCTGATCAAAACTACCACAACAATTATACTTCCAAAAAGAAAAAGATATTTAGAAACTTCATATTGCATCCTTTAGATTAGAACTATAAGCTTAAAGTCAAATTCAGTAAAATCAATATAACTACAAACAAAAAGAACTTTTAATTGAAAGAAAAAAAAGTGGAAAATAAAAGGAGGAAATATAAATTACAATCTGAAGTAAAGGAGAGATGTCTAATTGCTACAAGCTAAGTTTATGATATTTAACCAATTTGTAAAATCACCAAAAGGGGAAAAAAAAACCTTCTGAAGTGATTTGCATGACCCTATTAAGGTTACTGATGAATGAAGAGCTTGCTAGTCTGTGCTTCATTCATTCAGGGAGTGGGTAATAAACTATAGATGGATTGTGGCTTCTTTTTGGGGCTTGTCCTGAGAGAAATAACCCAGAATCTGTTTGAACAAACCACATTATTTGCTTGTGGGAAAAACTGTTGAAGCATAATTACAGCATTCATTAAGGTAGACTTGTGCCAACTGGCTCTATCTAATTCTTGGTAAGAATTTTTTTTTAATTAACTACTGTTACCGAAAGAATAATAGAAGAACAAAACAATAAAATGAAAGATAAAAGAAATAATAATGTTTGAATGGGACACTTCTCGGCTTCTAACAATTCAAATACATAGGATTTTAGAGCAGAGGTTTCAAACTCACGGCCCACGGGTGGATATGCCACGTGCTGGCCCCGCCCCCACCCGGTTTAGCAAAGTGGGAAAAAGTCCCGATATGTCACATGACGCCGTGAGTTTGATGCCCCTATTTTAGAGGGATGCCCCATAATGAAGTCTTTCAGGTGTTTTTCAGATAGCTCCCTCTGCTCATAAGCACTATGAATGTCAATTGTGGGTTCAAAATGCTACTACGTAGTTTGTCTCTGCTCAACTAGACGTGACACTAAAATTAATTGTACAGCACCAAAAAACATGCCTTGATGTTTGGGACAAGAATGCTATCTTTTGAAAGTTTTAGGTCACACTTCTTAGTCTTTATAGTACAAGGGGTATAAATTAAATGGCATCCACACAAGCAAAACACAGGTCTTTAAGCTGGTTTCTCTAATTTATTTATTGTGCGAGTACAGGGCAAAGCAAGGTCATGTAGAGATTTTAATGGGCCATAAGTTTAAATCACAGTGTAATATATTGCTTTCTTCCCTTGGGTCTAGTTGTCTCATTTAAATTTCTTCCCTTAAAATAAAGACAAAGAAAATTAAATTGCCAAAATTTAATCCTGGAATTAATAGACTGAGGTAGGATATGTAAAACTGCTATATAACTTAAAACACTTCAGTTTCCATTTCCAGGTGAAAAGGGAACACAGGTAATCCCTGACATATAACCATTTGTTTAGTGACCAAAGTTACAGCGACACTGAGAAAGAAAAAAGTGATGTATGCACGAATGACTGTCACAGCATCTCCCTGGTCATGTGATCAAAATTTGGGTGCTTGGCAACCTGCATGTATTTGTGATGGGTGCAACATCATGGGGTCATGGGATCGCCACTTATGAACTTTCCAGCTGGCTTCCAGCAGACAAAGTTAATGTGGGAAGCCGGATTCCTTTAATGATTCATTTAACAAGCGCAATGATCTACATAATAACTACAGTAATTTGCTTAACAACTGTGGCAAAAAATAAATAAATAAATTCATGTGACTCACTTAATGACTGCCTTGCTTAACAACAGAAATTCTAGTCCCAATTATGGTTGTAAGTCGAGACTACCTATAGTCAAAATGAAAATTTCTACCACAAAAATATATTCCTATATTCAGTATGCATTCAACAGACACAACTCAATATTCAGCTGTATCCCTCCCCACAAATCTGCAAATACCATCAGTTTTAAACCTGCTCGTGTTTTTAGCTAATGCTTTTTACAGCTTCCTCCTGAAATTTTGCCCTGCTCTGGTGCAATGTTTCTTTCAACTTTTGCTAATTTTTATGGAAACATTTAATCAGAATACGTAAAACCCCCGTTTAGAAGTGAGAGTTTATAAATCGAAGAACTCAATTGGCCTTGCTATGAATCTGAGAGCGAAACTATTGGAACTAAGTGAGTGTGGACTTAGTGGGAGGTCCACACAAAATGCTTGAGTTTTCTAACACACAATATGTGCTCCCAGCAAAACATCTAAGACAGGCAGAGGGAAAAGAAAGCACTATTTCAATTCAGCATGCCAACCAGCAATAGCACTTAGACTAATATACTGTTCAATAGTATTTTTCTATCACTCTCTAAGAGGTTTAGAGTCACCATATTGCCCCAAATAATCTGGGTTCTCATTCTACCAACCTCAGAAAGATTGAAGGCTAAGTTAACCTTGAGCCAGTCACAATTGAACTCCTGGCTATGGGCAGTTAGCTGCAATACTGCATTCTAACCAATGTGCCATCACCTCAAATGCCTTTTCCAGAAAAATCTGGGAAAGTAGCATCTACTAGTACCATTCAATGGAGTTGTGAATTAAGCGCATGGCTGCAACTCTTGAAAGCAACTGCATCTTTTCCTGGGATCATGAGGCGGGGCGAAACTGTCACATGATTTCTAGGAAGA